TCTATTGCGCCAACAGACGATTCAAATCAACAAGTTAAAGATTCCTTTTATGAAGAGTTATCAAACATCTGTGATAAAATAAAAAGCCATCAAGAAATAATATTGTTAGGAGACCTAAATGCCAGAGTAGGTTCTCAAATAGACGATGAAGTGTGGGACGATACGGAGAAATGGTTAAAAATAGTTCAGGGGACAGTTTAATTGAGTTCTGTCAACTTTTTGATTTAAAAATAATGAACACCCAATTCCCACATAAAGATATTCATAAATACACTTGGGAACGACCTTCACTCCAACAGAAGTCGATCATAGACTATATAATAATGAGACAGAACTCAAAATTTAAGTGCCAAGACTGCAGAGTAAAAAGAGGGTCTAACTGGTGGACAGACCATTACTTTCTTTTAGCTAATATTTGTGCCCCTTTAAACAAAACAACAAACATAACACCGAAAGTCAGAGAAACAATACTACGCAGTACAAAACGGAGAGATATAAATTGCATCTTTTATTTCAACCAAGTATTAAACATCTTTTTCAATGTAGATTAGAAAGGGAAGTAAATGAGACGGAAAGAAATATGGATGTAGAACAAGAATACAATAACCTCAAAATGATAATAAAAAAAATTGCTTATGAAGTATTAGGAACAGATAACAACGACAAAAAACACCACGAACCACCATGGATGACAGAAAACGTGAAAGAAATGATACAAGAAAAGAACAAATTATATAAAAAATGGCTAACAAATAAAACATCTAGCAATAGAGTATCATATCAAATGAAAAACGGAGAAGTACGCCAGCAATAAAAGAAGCAAAAAACAATTTCTGGGAACAAAAATGTGTCCAAGTTGAAAATTTAATGGGTGGTTCTCAGATAACGGAAGCATGGAGAACTATCACTAATCTAAAGAAGAACACCCATAACTCATTAGGCAACTTAATTTCTATAGAAAAATGGGAAAATCACTATAAAAATTTACTCCAAGAGTCCAGATTGGAATATATGGGAGAAGAATACAGTATGGAGAGACAAACAAATAGTAACATTAAAATACTACCAGCAACGAGGTCCGTACTGCGCTAATTAAAATGAAAAACGGGCGATCTTCAGGACCTGGCAATATAGCTGTAGAGTTACTTAAAGCAGGAGGTCCACTCCTAATCGAACGAATAACTTTTCTAATGAATCAATGCTGCCAACAAATTAAAATACCATCTGAATGGAAAAACCGCTCACCAAGTGTCCATCTTTAAAAAGGGTAATCGAAAAGATCCTAACTGCTACAGAGGATTGAGTGTCCTACCTACTTTCGGCAGATTGTTTGGAAAGATAATAAATAGAAAAAATACAAGATGATGTAGGACATCTAATAAGCGAAGACCAAAGCGGATTTACGCCTGGTAGATCTTGCACTGATAACTTGTTTATACTCCAACAATTAATAGAAAAAAGAATAGCGGTTGGTAACGAAGTACATCTAGCCTTCATCGATCTAGAAAAAGCGTATGATACAGTACCAACGCCTAAATTGTGGCAAGCTTTACAACTCGGCATTAGTCCACACCTTTTAGGAATAATCACAGAAGTATACAGGGATAACACCACTTACCTAAAAATCGGAAATAGACTATCAGAGCCGATAAAAGTAACTAAAGGACTGAGACAAGGATGCAGTATGTCACCTTTACTGTTTAATTTATATATTGAGACAGCCCTTCAAAATTGGAAAAACCACTGCCAGGGAATGGGAATCCAATAGGAAATGACGTACTGTTCTCCCTGAACTTTGCGGATGACCAAGTCGTTCTAGCTCAAGATTCTTATGATCTAGAATTTATGATAAAGCGTCTATACAGAGAATATGTAAAATGGGGTTAAAAGTCAGCATGAAGAAAACGGAATATCTAGTTATCAATTCAGATGCAAGGTTTGAAGTGCTGATAGACGAGGACGTGGAAATCACACAAGTGGAAAAATTTAAATATTTAGGTGCATTCATTGACAAGAACGGCTTGGGTGAAACCGAAATTAAACACCGAATTAATCAGGACGTAAAATTGTAGAATGTTTGAACTCCTTATGGTGGGATCGCAACATTTCCAAAAATAACAAAAAAAGAATATGGCAAACGATGGTTGAATCAGTTCTTTGTTATGGCTTGGACCGAGAGGATTGGCGGAGGACGAGAATACGGCGATAGCCGTCTCCAAGATGTATTCTATTTACAAATTGGATCCTGTAATATATATATATATATATTATATATATATATATATATATATATATATATATATGTTTTAACAAACTTATGGTTCTATAATCCGGTTCTAAATCAGTGAATTAGACCAACCATTAGGTAGTTGTCCGCTGGTATAAATGGTATTGAAAAACGAAGTTATAGCCTCTAAAACATTGCTATCATAAGCTTAAGCTTATATATTTTAGTTTCATAAGCTATCATAAGTATCATAAGCTTATATATTTTAGTTGGAATTTCATCAGGACCAGTCGCTCTGCTATCTTTTGATGATTGTATGGCCTGTATAACCTCAAAGCGTGTTATTAGGGGTCCGTCGCAGTTAGTAATATCGGGAGGTGAACTACTCCAATCGTCTTCGAATAAGTTCGTGACGTAATGTTCCCATTCTTTAAGTTTGTCCTCTACTTCAAATATTACTTTACCATTTTCATCCTGTAGCAATGCAGTTTGTTTCTTATTTAAGATACCAGCCGCTTCTTTCACTTTTTTATACTTGTTAAACGTGTCGTATCTTTTTTCAAGTTCTTCAATGTCACGACACTGTTTGGCTAGATGTTGACTCTTTGCTTCTCGTATTTTACTTCTCGTATGCTATTATAAAGTGTTTCGTTGTTTTTTGCTAGTCGCTGTTGTTCCATCAAATCCAGTATGTCATCTGTCATCCAAGCCTGCTTTTTATGGTTATTATTATCTATACAGTTGATAGTTTAAGGCAGATAGCGTATTTTTTGCGTTTTTTTTTTATTTTTTCATTCGATAATACTACTCTTCAAGAGTATCCAGGTAAAATATCAGAGAAATTAGTGATCGGAGCAAAATTGATGGAGTTATGGGCATTTAGGAGTGAGTGAGTTGAGAGAGTGAGTTAATTGAGTGAGGTGAGTATGTAAGGAGATTGAGTTAGGTGAGGGATTAAGGTCAGTGAGTCAAGTGAGCGATTGAGGTGAGTGAGTGAGATGAGGGATTAAGGTGAGTGATTGAGGTTAGTGATTGAGGTAATTGAGTGAGTGAGATGAGAGAGTGGGATAAGTGAGCTTGGTAAGTAAGTGACGTGAGTGAGTGAGGTGAGTAAGCACTCATATAGAAATTGGTATAAGTTGTGTCAAGCTCTCATAATTATTCACTTGCGGCAGATTACAATCGAATATTTAAAACGAATAAAATGGCTACAGATACGATAAAAAAAGGCAGTTAGTCGAAAGTACCAGCAAAATGAATGTTAAATGAAAGCACAATGCTTTAGATATTTTAGCAGGCACTCTGGAATGGCGGTTAAGGTTTTAGCCGAAACACTGTTAATTTGGCACTACCCTGGAATCTTCTGGCCTAGTATTCTACTCAAAATAAAAGATCCAAGGTGTCTTGCTCCGTGACGGTAGATTTCTGAAAAGTTTTCCACCGCCCCTGCATGCCAGAATTCAATGGATCCCTTCTTAGGCTCTCACTAAAATCTGGCAATACGCCAATAATCTTTTTTTTAAACGCGTTTTTCTCGGAATAATTTTGTTTACGTCATTGATCACTGTATATCAAAAACTCCCTGATCGATCCTTCTCAAATTTTGCACACTTCTTTATAGAAAAATTATTAGGGTGCAACTGTGAGATATTGTCCATTTTGTTGTTATAATTAATTTTACAACATCAAATTAGTCAAATTTATACAAAAAATTTACAAAAATAAAAAAAAATCATCTTTTTTTACCTCTCAAATTTGAAAAAAATGATAAAATGGACAATATATCGACCTTGCGACCAAGGGAGACTCCGGTAATAAACTAACGAAATCTTTTTGGTTTTTGTTTTGTCAAAAGACGATCCAGTTATAAATATAATGAAAATCGCAATTTTTTTTTTATTTTGGAAAATTGGCTTAGTCATTTTTTTTTTATTTTTAATACGGTTGTACCAAAACTTTAACTAATACTCTTAAAATGTTGTACTCTATAATGTACCTATATTATAAATATTATATTAAACAATTATATTATTATATTAAACAATTTATAAAAAAAATTTAAAATTAGGTATAACAAATTGAAAATACCCCCCCCCCCCCCCCGCCCTTTAAGTAAAGATCGGTACAATTAGCACAAGATAGAGAAGAATTCCAGTTGATGTTCCTCAATTTTCGATAGGGAGAGGGCACATGAAAAAAAAAGTGATAAAACGAGATACAAAATTTTTAATTCCTAATTGAACCAATCAATAGAAAGTTTAATTCTAAACAGTGTTTAAAGACAGTTATTACTGGTTTTGTTCCTCATGTAAAGGGTTAGAGTAAGCTTTGTAAAGAAGACAAATTTATTTTTACCAAACAAATAATCGTTATTAGATAAAATCAGCTAAGTTTGAACAAATTTTCCAAAGGCGTTAATAATAATTAGTTGTCCTAATACCGCGAAGTTGTCAACAAGTAATACCGAATATTCTAAAAACTGTTACTTCAATCTTGACTTTTGGTATATAGTGCTTCTAGCATCAAAATACACATTATCTCAAAAATGTGGGAACAAAAAGTATAGAATTTGCAAAAATACCCGTCCAAAATCAATTAGATACACAGACGTGTATGGCTAGTATTCTGTAGGTTAAAATAAATGGGTACACTGTTGTGTTTTATGATACTCTGTTGTATTGTTACATTTTTCATATGTTACATTATAGTACATATATTTAAGTACATATTATATTGACCTATATTATACATATTTAGACATTGTGATTTTCAGGTATATGTTATTAGTGGAGCAACATATTAGATATTCTAAGCCCTGCATGCTAATGGGTCCGACCGGAACTGGAAAATCTTTTTATATAACAGACATTTTGTTAAATCGACTAAACAAAGAAAAATTCGAGCCAGCTTTTATAACATTTACGGTACAGATTACTGCTAATCAAACACAAGATCTTATTATATCAAAACTGAATAGAAAAAAAACGTGGGCATTATGGTCCACCTAAAGGAAAAACAGCTGTTATTTTCATAGATGATGTCAACATGCCTGTTAAAGATGTATATGGTTCGCAACCTCCTTTGGAATTATTACGCCAGTATTTTGATCATAAAAATTGGTAAGATTTTAATTTTACATTTAAGCGTGATTTCTATTAGTGTAATTGATGGCTACGTAATTGAAATTAATGTGATATACCTTTTTTTAATTTCTTTAGAATATAGTCAACTTAACATGTTCATGTCGTTTATTCTTCTGGGAAGCCTGTCTGATGTTTCAGTTAAGCATATTAAGTACTTCTTTACTTTCCATGTTATACTGCTAACGTTTCGTCACTTAAATTACCCTGTTTTTGACTAGTATTAAATCAGAGTAGGTGCATCCTAGATTCGAGTAGTTTTTCACTTTGCCTTATTCTAATTTGTATTAGTCTGTATGACCCTATCTTTTTAAATTCGACTTTAATCACGGCGTGTCGATTCTGACTCTACTGAATGACCTGGGTAATCTTCAGCTATTTTTTCTTTTGATCTTTGGCACTGACAGGAAAAGTTGCTGTAAACGGCATTGCTCAGCAGTTAGTTCAGTTATAACGGTGCTGCTCATGACACTTCGGGATAACGTAGGGGGTCACTATGTTGTTCCTTTTTTTTTTCGATCTCGGAAATCAATATTTCTGTAGATGTGCTATCGTTTTTTTTTAGTTTAAAATTGACCAAAAACGTTTCAAACTGTTTACTGATCTATTTTACTACTTTGTACATCCTTTGTATACTAGTATTTATTCTTATTTCTTCACTTATCACATCCTTGCATTATTTAAAATATTACTCACAATATAAATTGATAACTGAATTTTAGGTATGATCTTAAATCCACCAGAGCATTATATTTACATGATCTAATATTTTTGGGTGCAATGGGATTAGTAGGAGGCAGCAGACAAGATGTATATCCAAGATTTCTACGACACTTTAGCATATTTTCCATAAATGAATTTAGTCAAGAGAGTATGGCCAAGATCTACTCAAATGTTTTATTACTTGGCTGGAAAAATAACGGCTTTCCTTCTGAAATCATTATGGTTGTTAATCAAGTAGTTAACGCAACTTTAAACATTTTTAAGGCTGCACAGGAAAACCTACGACCAACTCCGTCAAAAAGTCACTACATTTTTAATCTTCGTGACTTCTTCAGGTTAATTCAAGGTAAATATATGCATAAATCATCATTATTCCATTCTTGGTGCCATTAAAATGTGAACGTTTGAGTTAACACTTTAAAACGTCCTTTAAAAACACCGAAAGAGTTGGATTTTTTAATTTAGTTTTGCATTTATTATTTAAATAAAACAGCTTAATTAAAATGCTTGTATTGAGATATCTCCACTTCTTGGCAATGAGTCAACCTTTGCTCGAATTATTTTCTTCAATTCGCCGACAGTAATATTAAATTATTTCGTTGAAATGATAATGAAGGGTGGTTATAGAATGTGGAGTATCTCCGTCCTGTTGGTACCATAAAGCCCATGTTCGGATTGGTATCACTTGGGAATACCTCGATTAGGTCGGGTTGTTATTTCTGTTACATAATTTCATTATTTCTTTTCAAAATACTGCGTTAAACAATATTTTTATATTTAGAAATCATCAAATTAAACGTAAAGCTCCATTTTACAAGATCCCGAAGAGATTTTTCACCCGCTATCATTTTAAACTCTTTTCACTTTGCAGTAATTTAGCATCACCATGAATATCTATTATTTTCTATTTATAAGTTGTGTATGTTCATTTAGTGCACCTCTGTAGGCTTAGCCCCGTTGTCGATTTTTCAATATTCCGATTTTGTTATATATTTAATTTTTTACATCAAACCTACGTTTTAACATCGATCGGTAAAATCACTGTATTTGGTATTATTTTAAAGCCAACAGAGATTGCCGATATTATTACTTAAAATAATATCTAGATACATAAATATCGATCGATTTGGGTCAAGTTCAAGTAACGACATTGAAACTACGGGAACCAAAACAAAAAGATAAATTGATAATACAAATTGATATAATTAATATATCAATTGATATAAATTGATATATAAAAAAAATATTTATATAATTTATTTGTTGAAAAATTTTTATAAGTAAATAAGCAGGTTGCCGTGGCAAAGTAAACATTTTACAAAAAAATCACAAGAATAATTTTATAATAACCCATATTATCAAAAACAGTGGTTTCAAAATGAAAAAAGCATTTCTTTATAAGTGTTATAAATAAATAAGTAGGTTCTCGTGGAAAACTTTCGGTAAACTTATAAACACAGCATTTATTAGCATCATAATTTATCGAACAAAAAAAATTTTGCTTATGAGTATGAAATCAACCTTTTTCAGCAAAATCCACCCATTTAGCATTAAGCTTGTCAGGCAAGTACTCAATTGCAGAACTCGGCGTGCCGAGAAATTAACATTAAGAACAATGGATCCATGGGAACCAATAAAGTTATGGGTAAAAACTTTTCGGGAACGTTGATAAAAATAAAGCTTTTTATCAAAGATTTAATTTGACGATTGCCTAACTTTAAAATAATATTTTTTTCTGATTTATCGGGCTTTGAAAATGACTATTTTTTGAGCAATTTCTGACCTTAAATTGTATATAACTCTAAAATCATGCATTTTAGAGAAAAATTACTAAAAAATTTTTTGCTCAGAATGAGCCAGTCAAGCTAAAAAGATTTGACAGTTTGTAAAAAAAAATTATTTTACCAATTGTTGATCATCACTTTCTTAGGACAACATGCACTTTTATTGTAAGGGGACTATGTTAAGTAGAATTGTGTAAAAATATTTTTCTTAACCAGTGCGCCCATACTACCCGGAGTTTGATTTTATGATTATAGGCCAAAATTCTAGAACTTAACATATAGATTGTTTTATTATGTATGAACTTAACGTATGTTTAGTTGTAAATTTTCTACACTGTTCTTCGCCCAAAAAAAAACGATTTGTAATATATCCTAATTGATTTGATTAAGTTTTTGTAATATTTTAGTAATACCTGATTTGGTAAATGATTCCATATGAGGGTATTTATCATTTAATATACTGTATACCTCGGTAAAGTTTTTAATCATCCCTTCACATCCTCTTAAAATTAAAATTTGAATATTTTGTTGACCCAAAATGTTCCCAAAATTATATAATAAAAAAAACAAATTGTGTTTTTTATGCATATTATTGCTAACAATACATATGAAGTCATTTTTAGTGAATGTTTTGTTGGAATAAATCAAATCTATTTCTACGTTTGCAATTTCTATCATTATTCCTTTACCGCTAATATTTTGATCAACATAATTTTGTAGCTGGTAACGTATAATATCCAAAAAAATAGTATGCCAAAAAATGGCTTTAGAGTAGTTTTGTCGATTTCAAATCAATGCCAAATATATATATATATATTATATATATATATATATATATATATATATATATATATATATTTCCATATTTCTTCACTGAAGTACAACGAAAAAACTTCTAAACGGGTTTAATTCAATGTCTTCACAACTATTTTTCATCATCGCATGTATAAGGTAAACTTGCAAGTATTTTATAAGTCCCTGCAACGTCTGGCAAATATCTGTCGTCCTCGCATACATTATCCACAAGATCTTCTTTATCGGTAAGTTCGTCCACAAAAATCATCAACAGAATTTGCCACCAGTAAATCTTCATTTTCTCGCTCCGCAGCTGAAAGTTTGTTGAATTTCCACGACATTACTAGAAAAATAAACTACTTAATAAATAAGAAACTTAACAATTAATTACTTAGAAATAGGAAATAAATAACATATACAAATTATAAATTTATTTACCTTACTATTTTCTAACACTGAACTTTACACTAATGGTTTAGAATTCCAATAAATTGCTAATGATTATTAACTGTCAGTTCGAATGATTGTATATAAGACTGGCCAAAATGCAAAGTTTAAATTTTTTTCTTTCTAAAAATCTATAAAATATTTAAAGTTCTTTAAAGAGAGGTATCGCAAAGTCAAACGGTAATACCGTATCAAGATGTAAATAGCGGATAACGGTTTATTTAAACACAGGCATCAGGTTATCGCAAATGGTCTCGGATGGGCTATGATATGACAACGTTGTCATAACAACCGACATTTAGGATTAAATGTAACCTAGAAATTAATTACATAAAAAGCTTAAGGAGACTGCTGGAATATACAGAAAACGAAGACCAACTACCATAGTTAATCAGGATAACCAGATAGTGCTGGGTGAAAAGGAGGAAAATTGATATATGGGAAAATTATATCCAGGAGCTCTTCCATGACGAAAGACCCATGAGTGAAGTTTATACAGACGACCAGCTGACTGGCCCTTCAATCACCAAAGAGGAGATAGAAAAAGCAATATTAAATTCAAAAAACAATAAGGCACCTGGACCAGATGAGATCCCGTCAGAAATACTCAAATTACTAGATGAATGCACTATCCTCAACAGTGGTTACGCTCTACCTTTATTCCCCTGCCCAAGAAAGTAAATGCAAAAAGTTGTGAGGATCACAGACTCATTAGCCTGATGAGTCACACTTTAAAGATATTCTTAAAAATACTACATCAAAGATTATACAAAAAATGTGAATGGGACATCAGTGATTCCCAGTTCGGGTTTAGGCAAGGTTTAGGAACACGAGAAGCAATAGTAGCAACACAGGTACTAATCCAAAATTGTTACGATCAGAGGAAGGATGTGTTCCTTTGCTTTTTAGACTACCAAAAAACGTTTGATCGTGTTCAACACACAAGTTAATGCAGATTCTCAAGAAAGTTGATATAGACCAAAAAGACATAAGATGCATTGAAAACTTGTACTGGCATCAAACGGCACAGCTAAAACTAGACAATTCTATATTCAAGCCCATACATATAAGAAGAGGCGTTCGACAGGGATGTGTGCTTTCCCCTCTTTTATTTAACATTTATTCGGAAGCCATATTTCAAGAGTCTTTGGAGGATGCAAAGATGGGAATCAAGTTGAATGGAGTATTGATTAACAACATACGATATGCTGATGATGGTGTCTTAATTTGTGACAACATAGTCGATCTTCAACAACTTGTCACTATAATCGGAGAATACAGTGAGCGAATGGGACTAGAGATTAATACCAAAAAGACCAAATTCATGATCATCTCCAGAAACTTGGATGCACTTGAAAACTCCACCATAACACTGAATAGTAAATCCATAGAAAGAGTGAGTAAATTTAAATACCTGGGATCGTGGCTTTTTGAAGACTGGGCATCGGACAGGGAAGTAAAATGTCGCATTGAGCAAGCTCGACAAGCTTTCGTAAAATTCAAGAAGGTACTGACTTGTTCTGAGTTCGATCTTCAACTGAGACTAAGGTTTACTAAGTGCTACGTATGGTCAGTGCTGCTATATGGCGTAGAGGGCTGGACACTCAAAACGAGGGATATAAACAGATTGGGAGCTTTCGAAATGTGGCTTTATCGCCGTATCCTAAAAATACCATGGACAGCGAAAATCACAAATATAGATGTCCTTAAAAGAATAAACCAAGAACGCCAACTTTTCGAAACCATCAAGAAAAGGAAAACGGCGTATCTAGGTCACATCATGCGAAATGAAAAATACCAGTTCCCCAACTTATAATCGAGGGTAAAATTGAAGGCAAGAGAGGAATGGGACGCAAGAAAATGTCCTGGCTCCGAAACATAAGGCAATGAACAGGGATTAACGACATACAATATCTGATACATATTACAAGAAATAGAGAATTAATGGAAAATGTGATCGCTAACATCCATGAGTGGATTTGCATCTGAAGAAGAAGAAGAAATTAATGTTTAGGAATATGAATATTGCAACCGTTTTTTATGGACAAATGGGTTTGGAAATTAAGGCAGCAATAATAGGTGGTGCCGATGACAATGAAATTGAAGGTTAAATTCTTGTTAATTTGCTAAAAGGACTAAATATTAAGTAGGTTAACGTGAATTTTAGTTTTAATGATTTAACCAACAATCAATGCAAAGATTTGTTTCGGTTTAGCTCCCATGACATTAGATGATTATTCATCTGTCATCATTTGTCTCTTAACATTCTGATTTTTTTTTGTTACTATAATCATATTTTCTCTCAGTGTCTACCATTGTT